AAAATCTTGTGTACAATGCATGGGGTCAGCATGTGTTGGGGGCAAACTCGAAGGCAGCTAACAAGAATGTAGTCTCTAGGCAGTCCCTGTGTGGTGCAGTTAACATGCTCAGCTGCTGGTAAAAAAGTTAAGAGGTTTGGGTCCACCCAGAGGCACCTCAGAAGAAAGGCCAGGTGATTTACTTCTGAAAATCAGCCACTGAAAATCTTTTGGAGCACAGTTCTAGTCTGACACACATGGGGTCGCCATGAGTCAGAGTTGACTGGATGACAACTGGTTTTAAATATATAAAAATAAACATAGATCTCTAAAGTTTAATGATTAGTGTCGTGTGAGATCAAGTTTCAATCTCCTGGGTCAGGCATGATCTTGGTGGAAGTAAATGACAGAAGCCATAGTAGGACAAAAGCGAAAAACCAAGTAGACAATTGAGGTCTAGAAAGATATCATAGAATGAGCATTGTTCCAGCCACTCAAATCTAGCACTTAGAATTCAACCTTGATTTAACTCCTCTCCTCCCCATCCCAGGAACAAAATCCTGCTCATTCAGTTTCCTTCTTCCTAGAACTCTCTGTGAAAGACATATCCTTAATTCCTTTCCATTCTCACAGAATGTTTGCATTACCCAACTCCTAAAAGAAGTTAGATTAATCTCCCAACTTGTTTCTACAGCCACGTTCTTAGAATTCTTTGTTCATTCATTTATTTACTTAAAAATCTATCTTGAGCATCTACTCTGTGAGGCATTATTTTGGAAGCTATGGATATAGTATGGAGAAACCTCAAAAAATCTGTGCTCTTTCTTATGGGGAGGGGAGATGCAATAACAATTTAATGTTAGATAATGATAATGGCTTTGAAGAAAAAATAAAACTGGGAAAAGAGAAGTGAATGAGGATTGAGGTGGGGTCAGCTGTACTCTTTCACAAAGGACGATTAGAGAAAGCCTCTTAGTAGAGACCTGAATGAAAGTGCAGAAGTAAATTGTGCAGATATCTAAAAGGTGTTGCAAGCAGAAGGAAGAGAGAGAGCAAAAATTCTGAGGTAGGATCATGATTTGCTTGCTCCAAGAGCAGAAAGTGGACTGAGTGAGAGGAAGAAAGTTAGGGGATTCCAGTCTTTGTATTAATTCACTACACTGGGTTGTTCTGAGGTTTGAATGAGTTCATACTCTCAAAGCACTTTGAGAGTGCTTGGCACAGTAAGTAAGCATCGCTAGTAACAAGATTAACATCCTGTGGCAAATTTTATGTGAATAAATGTCATCTCTATTGGGTGCAAACAATTAACGTGCTTGTTTGCCAAGCACTTGTCTGCTAATCGAAGGTTGGAAGTTTGAGTTCACTCAGGGGCACCTCAGAAGAAAGTCCTGGTGATCTACTTCTGAAAAATCAGCCATTGGAAACCCTATGGAACACAGTTCTACTCTGACACACATGGGATCGCCATGAGCTGGGATCTATACGATGGCAACTAGTGGTGGATTTTGAAATACCTTGAAGATTTCTTATTGAGTGCAGAAAGAAGTTCAAACTCCTTTGCCTACTGCTAAAATATTTATGAAATTCAGGCTCAAATATATTTTTACAACCCTTATAGTTAGAAATTTTCACACAACCAATGTGTCCAACTCTTTGTCTCTCAGAGATGCTGTCCAAATTTATAGCTGTCCATAGCTGCATAGTAATACCCCTTCCACTTTATTTTTATTTACTTATTTCTCAGCCTCCTATTTGAGATTCATCATTTTCATGAAACCATTTCCAAACCCTATTGGTGACAGTGATCCCATCCTCCTTGTAACTCCTCCCCTGCGTATTCTGACTCCCCTCCTGATAGTAGTCTCTCCGAGGGAGGGATCTATTTTAGAATTCTTCCATCTGCACAGGGCCATGTGCTGGTGCTGAGCATGAAGTTACGGAAGGCTCCAAACTAGAATCTCTCAGGGAAAGCCAGTCCCAAAGGGCAAGTAAGCTTTATTTTGTGCATTTGCAGGATTCCAAGCCCCCGAATTATTTTCTCAAAACGTAACTTTAATATCTTCCCTGTAGGCTTAATCTTTTGAGCCTCTGGTTCCTTGAGGGAGTTCGCTCCAATTTACTGAAAAACCTCTCCTGTGTTATGCGGAAGTGGGAGCCAGTGAACTCTTTTTCAAAAGTGTGGCTGGAAGGAATAGTTTTTAAGATGGCATCTCCATATTGTTTATCTTCCTAGACATTGAAGAAGCTGAGAGAAATGACAAGTCTACGTTTATAGGGTAATTTATTTTCATATCAGGAACTGTTACTTTTGTAATTTATCTTGCCATAGGCAGGCAAAGAGTTTAGGGGCCTGTTTTCTCAGACGTGTGTTAAATGATTTCTTGAATTGCTTTCAGGAGGCCAGGGTTGCAAAAACGAGTTTAGAAGCCTGGGAAACCATAATCTGTAAACTCACCCTGGAGAATAACCATTTGGTACAAATGATAATGTCTAGTCTGTGCCCACTTGGTTTCAATTACCTAACATGAATGTATATTTTGGTTGAATTTTGTGTTTTGCACAAAATACTGAATTTGCACAAGATACTGAAATGTCTTTGAAGATTTGTGGGCTTGTAAAAACGTTAGAATTAAGAGGATTTTGTTCCTCTGGGTCTTGGTTTCTTCACTTTCTTAGATTGGAATCATGAGTGAAAAATGGATTTCCGAATTAGATGACTTGAGTTCTCTTTCTACTCATGCTCAAAGTCACGTGCATATATAGTAGCATGATTTTTCTCTATTACTAACTTTGAATTGGGTAAGGCTCAGAAAAATATAGCTTAATAGGCTTTTCCATGGTTGGTATCTATTACTTTCACACAGGATTTCAAGTTGAATACAACATTTTAAAAATATAACAATTATCAATGGTGTATATACTTCATTACCTTCTTTTACAATTAATTGAGATCACAGATACTATTCTACTTTCAATGTTATAAAACTCTTCCATAACCTGAATTTATTCTGACATTTTAAATCCTTTGATCTTCCTTGAGTAATAAGAAAAAAATTAATTACCTGAAATGTTTTTATGTGTAAACAACAATAAAAAACAAATAAAAAAACTAAACCCGTTACCATCAAGTTAATCCTGACTCATAGATAATAAATTCTGTAAACATGTTACTACTAAGGTATAGTTTTTCTGACTAATCTTAAATTGAACTCCCCTGAGTCTTTTCTTTTCCAAGTCCCATTGCTGTGGCAACCATAAGAGGTCAGCAGCTTTTCATTTGATTTAATTTGTTTGATTTATTTCCATGGTTAACCAAAACCCTTTTCAAGCTTTCTTAACAAGGGAGGAAGTTGTTAGACTTCTGTGAATGCTTCTCCTCCACCACGTCCTGGGAATATTTTTGCGTGACTGAGCTGTTGGAATCTGTATGATTATTTCCAAGTCTAAAATACATGTTTCTTGTCCTCAATTACCCCTTTTTGTCATTGTCCTCAGTTCCCTTCTCCTTCATTCTTTTTTAAACTTTTTTTTACTTTGAAATAATTATAGATTCACAGGAAGTTTCACCGAGAGTACAGAGAGGTTCCATATGTCGTCCGCCCAGTTTTCTCTAGTTGTTACATCCTATGTAACCATAGTGCAACATCAAACCAGGATATTGCCATTGGTATAATGTGTGTGTATAGTTCTATGTCATTTTATAACATGTGTGGATTCTTGTACCACAATCAGGATACAGAGCTCTTCTGTCACCACAAAGATCTGCCCTTGTGCTACCCGTTTATAATCACACCCACCACCCTTTCTCCCACCAGCCTTAAGCCCTGGCAACCACCAATCTATCCGCCATAGCTATAATTTTGCCATTTCAAGAATGTGATATAAGTGGAATCATAGAGTATGCAGCCTTTTGAAACTGCCTTTTTTTCACTCAGCATAATACCTTGAGATCCATCCAAGTTGTGTGTATCAGTATTTTGTTTCTCTTTATTGCTAAGTAGTATTTCATGGTATGAATGTAGCACAGTTTGATAACCATTCACCTATTACAAGACATTCTGATTGTTTACAGTTTTCAGCTATTACCAAAAAAAAAAAAGCTGCTTTTAGCAATTTTGTACAGGTTATTTTGTGAACTTAAGTTTTCATTTTTCTGGGATAAATGCCCAGGAGTGCCCCTTTTGTTCTTAAAACATTTCTTTTTCTTGCCTAAGCACCTGATATATAAACTGGGTCACAGAACTTACTCAATATTTAAGAACTGGTTTCTTCTCTGATGGACTTCAAAATTTGATGGAGGGTTAGTAGGTATATGCTCCAGTGATATGATGGTACACAGGCAGATTGGAGAAAGCATCGAAGAGGAGTTACTGTTGAGAACTTTGATCCCAGTTCCAAAGCCAACTTCTCTTGTCTCAGCCTGTCCACCAGAAGTTATCTTTTAGACGATTCAACTAATATTTGTTATAGAATCCAAGGGAAGTGGGGAGAAAGGTAGGTTCTTAATACCTGTTTGCTTTCAACCTGGAGTGAAGGTGGGTATCAGCCTGATACATTAAATTCACATAATATCTTTTTCTATAAGATGTTTTTTTAAAAATATCCTTGGTTCAAAGGCAGGCATTTTTAGAAAGGTAATCTGGAAGAGTTCAAGGATTTGCCTTAGATACTCTCTGAAGTTCATGTCTACCTCTAAAATTCTATGATTCTCCATGGAATCCTCTTTCAAATAAGGAGGAATCTGAAGAACTGAGGTTCAGTGACTTGATCAGTGTCACCCAAGTAGTTAGCAGGACAACCAAGACTAGAAGCCAAGTCTCTCAGCTGGTGTCACCCAGATCGTTAGATCGTTAGTAAGGCAAATAGGACTAAAGCCCAAGTATATTGGCTGTCAGCCTATGTTATGTAACTTATAAAATAAAAGCTAAATTCATATGCGAAATTAAGAAGCCTTTAATTATGAATTTATTGCAAAGAAAATAATCTTTCTTTTTCTCATAACAGATTAAATCAGAGAAATGGATTACAGAAATCAAACTTTGGTGGTTGAATTTGTTTTCACGGGCTTAACAAATCATGTCCACCACCAGGTTGTTCTCTTCCTGATATTTCTTTTGGTTTATCTTGCCACTCTCCTGGGAAATTTGGGGATGGTCACCCTCATTTGGGTGGATTCCCAACTCCACACCCCCATGTACATTTTCCTCAACCACTTGTCCTTTGTGGATATCTGTTCCTCCTCTGTCACTGGTCCCAAGATGATGACAGATATCTTTGTGGAGAAAAAAGTAATTTCTTTCTTTGGTTGTGCTGTCCAATTTTTTTTTTTTTTTTTGGTCAGTTTGTAGTGACTGAGTGTTTTCTCTTGGCTTCCATGGCGTATGGTCGGTATATGGCCATCTGTAAGCCGTTGTCGTACACACTCATTATCTCAAAGGGTCTGTGTGCAGCTGGTGGTAGGATCTTATGCTGTGGGTCTTATAAGTACCATGAACCATACAACTTTCGCCTTTTGCCTACCTTACTGTGGTTCAAATACCATCAATCACTTCTTCTGTGACCTACTTCTTGTTCTCTCCCTGGCATGTGCAGACACCCAGGTCAATAAAAATTTACTTTTCATTTTGGCTGGAGCCCTAGGAGTGCTCAGTGGTGTGATCATCTTGGTCTCCTATGTTTACATCATCATTGCCATCCTGAAGATCGGCTCTGCTGATGGAAGGCACAAAGCCTTCTCCACCTGTTCATCACATCTGAAAGTTGTTTCTATCCTCTATGGGATACTTTTCTTTATCTATGTATGTCCCAGTTCTATTTTCTCCCTGGACATCAATAAAGTGGTGTCATTGTTCTACACAGCAGTGAGCCCCATGTTGAACCCACTTATCTACAGCCTGAGAAACAAAGACGTAAAAGATTCATTCAGAAGGATATTTGAAAGGAAGAAGTTTCTGATAAATAGATAAACTAGAACACCATTTGTGCCATAGATTGAGAGGTAATATAGAGGTAACAACTCTGGGCTAGGTGTTGGGAGACCTACATTTAAGTTGAGATTCACTCTTTATTACTCTGTGTTATTGACAAATCAAAGATTCTGGATGGTAAAAATGGTTAATGCACTTGGCTGCTGACCAAAAGATTGGAGTTTCAAGTCCACCCAGAAGTGCTTCAGAAAAGCTGGGGATCTACTACCAAAAAATCAGTCATTGAAAGCCCTATGGAACACAGTTCTACTCTGACACGCATGGGGTCACCGTAAGTCAGAATTGATGCAATGACAACTGTTTTGTTGTTATTGTTTGTTTATTAACAAGTCTTGTGACATCTTTACATAATAATTTTCTCATTTCTATTTTCTAATTTCTCATTCAGCAGGAATGAGCTTTAGAAGTTTACACTGGGTTGGGTAGATTAGTGAACCTCAAACCTTGAGAAAATATTCTCAAGCCTTTGTGACTAGAAAATGAGGAGTTCTTTGTTATATCCTGAATATAATGGAGGAATCATGGCCACTGAATTTAGTTGTACCTCAGTTTTACCATCCAGGGTGTTGAGTTCCCTTAATTGTTTGCAAGCTTGATCTTGATTCATTGAAATACCAACTGTTACAAAGTCTATTATTCTGATAGTATGTAACTGTAGCACTTTCTAAATATTACTGTTATGTTTGGAGTAGACATTGGGCAAAGGGCTTTTATAACCACTATTCCCTTTAGGACTGTGTTTTCGTTATCTTGTGCCACTATAACAGAAATACCACAAGTGGATGGCTTTAACAAAGAGAAATTTATTCTCTCACAGTTTAAGAGGTTGGAAGTTTGAATTCAGGGTACCAGCTCCCAGAGAAGGCTTTCTTTCTCTGCTGGTTCTGGGAGAAGGTTCTTGTCATCAATCTTCCTCTGGTCTAGGAGTTTCTTAATGCAGGAATTCCAGGTCCAAAGGACACTCTCGACTCCTGGTTCTTCTTTCTTGGAGGTATGAGGTCCCTCTCCACTCTGCTCGATACTCTCTTTTATATCTCAAAAGAGATTAACTCAAGATACAACCTAATTCTTTAGACTGAGTCCTGCCTCATTAACATAACTGCCTCTAATCCTGCCTCATTAACATCATAAAAGTTAGGATTTACAACACATAGGATAATCTCATCAGATTACAAAATGGTGGACAACTACACACTGCTAGGAATCATGGTTTAGCCAAGTTGACACGCATTTTGGGGGGACACAGTTCAATCCATAACAGGATGGGCACATCTTGTTGGGATTTTGCCACTGTAAGTACATGATTTTTGTATGTAAGGTTAAGAATGCATTGCAGTTTTTTAATAAAGTGGTAGTTATTACTATTACTATTTATTGACTTTTGTGTGGTATGTGAGTATTAATTCCAATTGTATAGATGATGAAACTGACAGCCATGAAGACTAAGTGGATTGCCCTTGATCTTATAATTTGGTCCCACATTTGTTTTCTGCAGATATTCTTTAATCATCCTTCATGTTTCTTTTCTAGAACATAGCAACGAATCCAGGAGATGGGGGGATTGCACATGTGATTTATATAGGTGTGAGACTCATGCAGTTCCAAACTCTGCCTGATCTTGCAAGAACTTTGTTAAAAGCCATTTAATTTTAGTCCAATGTCTATGAAAGGATACAAATAGTCTCAGATGCCCTAGAATTTTTTTTGTTTGCATGTTTCTTCACCATGCTTTCTACCAGTGGGGCTGTCTGTGTTGGGTAATGTGTTGGGGAGAGGTGCGGTAGGATACCATTCTATTAAAGAGGACAGGGAGCCAAAGACTGCTGCAGTTGTTACTTAATTTAACAAATTTTTAAGTGTGCCTACTATGTGCCATATACTTTATTATGTGTTATGTATATTGGGAAGGAAAGTACTCGTGGAGGTTATAGTCTAGTGGCATGTCTTAATTATCTAGTGCTGCTATAACAGAAATACCACAAATGGATGGCTTTAACAAAGAGAAATTTATTCTTTCACAGTCTAGGAGGTTACAAGTCTGAATTCAGGCCATCAGCTCCAGGGTAAGGCTTTCTTTCTCTGTTGGCTCTAAGGGAAGGTCTTTGTCATCAATCTTCCCCTGGTCTAGGAGTTTCTCAGCACAGGGACCCTGGGTCCAAAGGACGCACTCTTTTCTGGCTCTTGTTTCTTGGTGATATGAGGTCCCTCTGTCTCTTTGCTTGCTTCTCTCTTTTATATCTCAAAAGAGATTGACTCAAGACTCAACCTAAACTTGTAGATTGTGTCCTGCCTTATTAACATAACTGAAGGCCTCTAATCCTGCCTCATTAACATCATAGAGGTATGATTTATAACACATAGGAAAACCACATCAGATGACAAAATGGTGGACAATCACATAATATTGAGAATCATGGTCTAGCCAAGTTGACATACATTTTTGGAGATCACAATTCAATCCATAACATTCCACACTTTGGCCCCCCAAATTCATGTCTTGGCCACATATAAAACGCATGCACCCCGTCATATCATAGCAAAAGTCTTAAATCAACTCCAAGTCCAAAATCCAAAAAATTCTCTCTATCTGTGAAATCTAGAACACGAGTTATCTGCTTCCGAAGTACAATGGTGGAACAGGCACAAGCTAGACATTTCCATTACAAATGGGAGAATTAGGAGGGAAAGAAAGGGTAAAGGGGACCAAGCAAGTCAGCAGAACACATTAGCTCTCAAAGCTTGAAATTAATTCTCTGTTCTCTGAGACCATTTAGGCAATGGCCCTCCCCTCCAGACTTTGGGTGTTGGCCACACTCTCCAGATTCTACATGGAGGCCCCTCAGCCCTGGGCTTCAGCTCTGCCTTCCAGGTCCATAGGAATGGCAACTCTGCTCCTTCAGCTTTGGGTGGCCCCATTCTCTTGGCACTCATGAATGGCAGCCCCACACTCGAGAACTGAATTGGAGAAGATCCAGGTCTTTGAAACCTAGGAGGCTGTGGCCCATCCTCTGAAACCTCGGAGACCATGACTCCACCTTTTGAGACTGAGGCAGCTCTGCTTCCTGTGCTCCTTGTCTCTTAAGCTTCCGCTTCCTGGTTCCTTGGCCTCTCGGCCCCTCGGAAATAGCTGTCGGAGTCTGCCCTGCTGGGGTAAGTGTTCCAAAGTTCTTTAGCTCCACCCATAAGTGCCTGGAGGCACCCCACTCTGCCAGTAAACTTCAGCTAGGAGGCACTCAGCTCTGTCTCTCTGTGAGTCGGCAAGCCTAGCTTCACTGATAAGTGCCCAGAGGCACCGCACTCCACCAGGAAGCCTCTTGCACAAAGGCACTCAGCTGTCTCACTCTGTGGTCAGCTCCCGTGCTGCTTCACGCTGGTCTCCTTGTTCTGCTGCTGCCATTTCTCTGCTGCAGCTTCTTGTTGTCCGCACTGTCTCTGGTGTTAAAGTTCTCACTTCCTTCCGAGTCCTCACCAGAATTGTCTTTGATGTCCATAATTCCACCAACAGTCTCTTCAAGGCAAGCGAGGCTTTTACTATTAGTCACCTTAAAACCCTTCCAGCCTCTACCCATTCACAGTTTCAAAACTGCTTCCACATTTTAGGTATCTGTTAGAGCAGAACCCCACTCTTCTACTACCAAATTCCATCTTAGCTATCTAGTGCTGCTATAGCATAAATACCACAAATGGATGACTGTAATAAAGAGAAGTTTATTTTCTCACAGTCTAGGAGGCTAGATGTTCGAATTCAGGGCACCAGCTCCAGGGTATGGCTTTCTCTCTCTATTGGCTCTGGGCGAAGGTCCTTGTCATCAATCTTCCCCTGGTCTAGGAGTTTCTCAGCACAGGGACCCCAGGTCCAAAGGCTGTGCTCTCTCCTGGCTCTCGTTTCCTAGTGGTATGAGGTCCCTCTGTCTCTTTGCTTGCTTCTGTCTTTTATATCTCAAAAGAGATTGACTCAAGACACAGCCTAATCTTGTAGATTGTGTCCTGCTTCATTAACCTAACTCCCTCTAATTCTGCTTCATTAACATCATAGAGGTAGGATTTACAACAGATAGGATTATCATATCAGATGACAAAATGGTGGACAGTCACATAATACAGGGAATCATGGCCTAGCCATGTTGACACACATTTTTGGAGACACAATTCAATCCATAAGTGGAGTAAGAAGACAAACAAATAAAAAATAAAATTAAAAATATTACATATCCATGGTGATTACTATGACAAAAAAAGTCAAGGAGTTAAGATGGAATTTTAAAGGGCATATGTTAGAAAAGATGGTAAGGAAAAGCTTCTTTAAAGTGAGTAGGAATTGAGAGACTGGAAAAGAATGAAGACATTCTATGTTATGATATAACTTTCCACAGAATCTGGATATCATTATTTGGATCATAAAAAGAGAAAGCGCCCTGCACAAAACAGGAACAGGGACCTCTGAATTTCCCAGAACAGAAGACAAAGTTTGCAGCTAATTTACTCTGATCCTCAGTATATGTTCTATATGTTTCTTTATCCAATGTAGACTTTTATGGGAATGGAGGGAGATGATAGTAGGAGTAGATTATGTAATGCTTTGTCAAGGGAAGGAATTTACTATGAGCCATTATGAGTATGAGTGCTTGTAAAAATAGTAACTTCTGAGAATAGATTAAAATACTTGTCTTTTCACCAGGTCACTCTTTGCTGCATATGTTAACAAAGTCTTCCAAGTGACTTCCTGCCAGACTAGTTGTGGTCTATTTCTAAGTCACTCAAAGCCCCCATGGGCCATGAAAACAAGACAAAAGCAAAACAAAACTGAACTAAAGGTGAAGGGTTGTCCTGGTAGCCTTAAGAAGTGCAACTGGATTCCTTTTTTATCACTGTCAAGGGCACACTTGCCTACAGTGGTATGCATACCACTGGAGGCTTCCCCTGTGGGATTTAATTAGTCAGGCTTAGGGTCTTATATGGCCTTTACACTTGCTGTTTCC